CCGCAGTTCAGAAGTATACCAAGGAGCTGTCTGGGCTCGGCGAGCACAGAGACGGCACTTAGGCGCAATCGTATCAACCACCCAGGCCATCTCCCTATTCCATAGGGTGACCTGAGCTTGGCCAGGAGCGCCGACCATATCAGACGGATAATCCCCCAGAGCATTCAGGAAACCATCCAGATCCATTAATCTCCGGGGCGGATCATCTTAATAGATCCCCCACCCTTGTAGAGGGAAGAAGAAGTTAATAGACTAAACTTGACCAGGAAGTGGTCTGACCATGACAATGGGGTCACAACCAGCCTCTCCACATCCAAACCACCATCTTCCAGTCCCGTTGAGAAAACCAGGCCCAAAGAATGGCCCCTTCTCATGCGTCGGACCGATGACACATTGAGACAGCCCCAAGGTTGTCATGGCAGCCATGAAGTCCTGAGCCACCCCAGTCAAGGGAGCCTTGGCATGAATGTTGAGGTCCCCCAGCACCAACAGCCTGGGAGTCCTCAACACCAGGTCTGAGACTACCTCCGTCAGCTCAGGCAGGGAGACTGTTGGTATGCAGCAGGGTGGGTGGTACACCAACAGAATCCCTAATCTGTCTCGCAAGCCCAACACACAATACAGGCCCTCGAGACCTCCTCTCAAAGGGATAGGAAGCCTGGTCAAGGAGATAGAACTCCTATAGACTATAGCAACTCCCCCTCCCCTAGCAACGTTGGTGCTGGACTGAGTACCCAGGTGGACACAGCTTTCTAACTCCTTCGTTTTAGCTTGAATCTCTAATAGTTTTTTATTATCTCTATCTATAAAGTATTTACTTTCTAAATCTTCTAATGATTCTAGTTTTTTATATTTTCTTCTTTATTCTACATGATTCTCTTATAGCAATTCCTCTTCTAAATATTTTCATAGTGTCCCACTCCTATCGAATATGTTTTTCAGGTAAAAAAGCTGTCCAAAATGAAGTAGAACAGCTATTTATGTTAATAGTGTCCCACTCTTATCGAATATATTTTTAAATTCGGGATATGCACCAGCTTCGGGAAAAAAGCTGTCCAAAATGAAGTAGAACAGGGGCATTGCAGGGCTATTGGCAAGTCTTTGGGTCTGAGTCCCAAGTCTGAGTCCAAGTTTTCTTTGGTACCAAGTCCCAAGTTCGAGTCTTTGGTAACATGTCCTGAATCTCAAGTCCCAAGTCCTTATTAAAAACAAGATTTTTCCTCAGGAAAAAAGGGAAGGGTGAGGGGGTTTCTGAGTCACACATCAGGTCTGAGTCACTGAAAAAAAATGAGTTAAGTCTAAGTCAAGTCACTGGTGCAACTTAAGTCCAACTTGACAGCAAGTCCCATGACTTGAGTGACCATCTCTGTTTATTTGCACGTTACTGAAGCCAATACAGTGCATTCAAGAAGCCCCCCCCCATCATGTTTGAGTCAGCTACCGTACCTCTAAAATTTATTGAACTTTGCATGAGTGTTTTCATGATGAAATCTGAACAAAAATACTGCCGCGAAAGAGGAATCATCAAAAACAGGAGATTGACAGCTGGAGTCCAAATGGAAGCCCAAACTTCTCATGAAAACTCCATCTGCTGAGCCACATGGCATATTCTCCATCTATCCAATCTAGCAGCTATTTCAATTCCTGGCATGGCAAGAGGAAGGTGGGACGTTACTTATGTACCATGTTATGGCACAGTGGTTAATCTGCAATATTGCAGCCAAAACTCTTCCTGTGACCTGCGTTTGATCCTGGGCTCCAGCAGCTGCCTCGAGGTTCACTCAGCCTTCCGTCCTTTTGAGGTTGGTAAATTGTGTCCCCATCTTACAATGTGTAGCCTGCATGATTAAATTGTAAACTGCCCAGAGGGCACTTTAAGCGTTATGGGGGCAGTATATAAGCAGAACACTTTTTTATTAGACTGGCCACATTCTAGAATTGTCTTGTTTTCTTTCAGGGCACCATACTGAGTCATCACGGTGCTCAGAATGATCCCATGTCTTCTTTCCCGGATGACAGCCCTCAATATGAAGGCCTGCCAAGGGACGATCCTCTTTGTGAAAGTGTCTCCCATTTAAAGATCTGGTTTAAAGAAGATCAGGGAGAAGGAGGAGATCAGGGACCTTGATGTTGCCATTCCACACTGAGCAAACTCAGCAGGCACGCAGATCTCCTGTTTGCCATCTTTCCACTGAAATAAGGCACATTGTAATTAGTTTCTGATTTTGCATCTATACATATGAATTGACTTATGCATTTTATACAAAAGAGGGTCCTTCTTGGTCTTCTTTGCTCTGGTGATAGATGTCCTCCTTTTTTTTCCCCTTTCCCCTCCACTTTTTTCCCCTTTCCTTTTTTTTTATTTTTTATTTATTTTGGGGGGGGGATAATGTGTAGATGGCCATACCACCCTTGCGGAATATAATGCCAAAACAAAGAAAGCCATGAAAGGAGGAGGAGGAAAAGAAGGAGAAGGGGAAAGAGAAAGAGAAGGAAAAGGAAAAGGAGAGAAGCAGCAGCAGCCAGGCTAAAACCTAAGCAAACGGCGATGTACAGAGCAAGATGAAACAAGCAAGTATGAAGATGGATGATAAGCACCGCCGGCACTCCATGATTCTGACCGCAGAAATCATTAACAACGCTGTGGATCGCCTGGCTGATTCCCGCCTTAGCATGGGAGTGGAAGAAGATAGAGCTTCCCAGAGACCCCCGCCCCTTTCCCAATCTCACATGCATGTGCACATTTCACTCCCCTAGTTTCTAGATTTGCTTTTCTTTTTTTCCAAAGGAAGCAACAGACAATCCTTTCCACCTAACCTAAGCAACCACTCCTAGTCCGAGGGGGAAATTCCGGCAGATGTGACCAAAAACAAGGAGAGAGAGAGAGAGAGAGAGAGAGAGAGAGGAGTAGATAGCAGGAACAGATTAGTTAGCAAACTTTTGGGGATGTGAGGCAGAAGGGCTTGCACGTCCCCAAACATTCTCCAATTGTTTCTATCCCTAAAAGATCACCTACAGTCTATTCATTAAAACCAGGCATGGGAATCTCATAATGTTTCAAAGGATGGTTTTGTACAAGAGCAGCCTGAGGCACCAACCTTTGAGCAGAATTCCCCTCTGAAATAAACTGGAAGAGCTGTTTCATCTTAATGAAAATCTAGCTATTGACGGGGTGGGGGCGGGGGGGAGGAAAGGTACAGGCACCAGTACTAGGGCAGTCTGCAGTGCTCACCGTAACCAGTTCAGAAGAACAGCACAAATCACCAAGCCCAGGATGACTCAGAATGCCTTCAGCAAAGGTTCTTATTGAAACCTATTTCTTAAAGGGGTTTGCGGTGTTCACCTGTTGCAGATAAAAACAGCAAAGAGTCTTAAAAGGCACCCTGAAGACTTAATACAATCATTACCACATTAGCTCTCATCGAAGGCTGAGTGTAAAGTGATGGAGCAAGTGCTTGCAAGAACAAGCTCTTTTATCAGAGCAACACAACTTGTAACAAGCCAATGTGGCTCAAAACTTAGGAACATTTAGGATGCCAGGGAGTTGACTGAACGCCCAAACAGTCCAAATGGACAGAACTAGCCCACAATAGTCTTTCAGTGGGAGGTGTGGAGCCCCCACCTCCTCTACCAGTTCTAGAACCCCATGCAGGCGGGCAAGGCAGGGCGTGCTGCAGCAGGGATGCTGGATACAGGCGCTCGGCTGTCCCTGAAGTAGCGTAGCCTGGACACCTTCCCTGGCTACACCTTGGTAGTCCCCACGGGCATCAGCTGCCATATATGTAGAGCCACTCTTCCTTGGAGACACTGCCAAAGTCGCATGGTTGGGTTCAACAGAGTAGCGGGAAGTGCAGTGGTGAGAAATAGAAGGAGGACCAGTCCTCTGGCATCAGCTGTGCGACCAGGAGGCCCTTGAGGCAGGGTGGCATGCCCCCCCCCACTGGTTCATTTGTCAGTGGCATCCCTTTCGCTTGTTTTCCAGCCTTCTCGCCTTATGTCATCTTGCCTCATCTCGGCAAACCCAGGAAGCTTTCTTTGGGCAGCACGAAGAACTCTTCTCAACCCCTCATATCCGGATCCCGACATTGGATCCTGGCATTGGTCTCTCAGCTGGCTATGGAAAAATCTGGTAACGCCAACACCTTTTGGGCTTCAACCACCTCCCAGTTGGCTGTGTCCATCCAACGGTCCTATTCATCTAGCTTGCTCGGCGGCTGAAATCTCCACCTGCCATGGCTACACATGTGGCCTCTGGGACATCATCTACCTCTGTGCTGCCACAGGGAACGGCAGGTCTGGAATCTCACCCTGACTCTCAGGGAAGTGAAGAGCCTGCTATTACTAGTAAGGAGATCATGGCCAGTCCCACATCCAGTTTGCAAAGCATTCTGGTTTGCATATGGATCTAGAAGTATCGGTTAGATAGGTGTGCATTGAAATGAGGCACCAAGAGTTTTACTCCTGTCCCTATCACTATATCATACCAGGCTGCAGTGATGCAGCCACTATTACAGTCCATACCTAAACCCTCTCCATCCTCCATATCTGGCAACAGGGTTGCAAAATTAAATGTCCGGTCACAGTTACCCTCTGCAAGTTGACTGTCTGGAAGACTGAATTCAATGAATGGGATTTTCAGATTTTCTGGACGGCAAACATCGTGATTCCCCATTCTAAGAGTTCATCCTCACTTACAGACACCTAAATGGGCTGCACCTGGGAGAACAGCCTCAGTGGGAAAGCTTTGAGGACTAGCTGGGACTAGCTCTACCCAAACTTCCTGCCGAGAAAGAAGGGTTCCAGCTAAGCACTGGGGAAGGAACAGGAAGCTTGGGTGAACAATTTTATGTATTAAAAGTTCTTTAAAAGTTTGAAATAGTTTTACTATTGTGTTCATTGTGGCTAATATAGAAGTTTTGTTTTGTCTTTTTGCACATTGTGGCAGGGAATGTAATAACCATCACGAGAGAGGGAAATAAAAGAGATCATCAAAACATATTTAGCGGTTGCTATCAATTAAACTCATACAGCTGTGTCTAATAAGCAAGTGTCTCAGGCACAGAAGATACTATCTAGAGACAGAGGAAAAAAACTTGCAAGCTATCTGTAATCATGTCTGAGAAATGTCAAGATAGGCAATGTGTCAAACAGAAGCAAGTGGTGGAAGTACTAATTAATTAATTCAATTTTTATACCACCCATCTAGCAAATTGCTACTCTGGGTGTTGTACAACAAAGTAAAGCCAAAATCAGCAGAACAGATCCTAAAATAAAAAAATCGAAAAAGGCAGGCAGCAATAAACTGTTAAACGACAAAGGAAAACCCTTATTCCTGCTCCACACATCCAGTCGGTTAAGGAGAAACTCCCCAAAGGCTTCCTTTAAAAGCTCTATTTTTAGTTGTGCTTGAAAGGCATGGAGGGAGGGTGCCTGGCAAAATTCTTGGGGCCATGAATTCCACAAGGAAGATGCCACAGCAGAGAAGGCCCAGCTTCTGATTGTTGTTTTAGAGGCCTCTCAGGGTATTAATATCCCTAGTCACGTGGTCTGTGAAGACCTGGTCAGATGGGCAGTCGAACGTGGCAGAACACGTTCAGACAGGTAGTGAGGTCTCAAACCAGTCAGGCAAAATGGCCTCTATTTTTCAGCCCCGCTAGACAGAGCTCTGCCCCTTGTGCCATCATTCTGTTGCCCTCTTCTGAAAGTGTTATAGTTTGTGAAGATTTTTCCTTAAGTGTGGTGTCCACAGTTCTCAAGATGAGGCCTAACTAGTGTTTAATAGAGGGGAGATAGTAGTACTTCATGTGATTTGTAGACCATATTTCTGTTAGTGCTGCCTAAAATAGCATTTGCAGCCACAATTTATTTCTATTTTTATTCATTTATTTATTCAATTTGTATCCCACTCCCATTAGTGTCGTAACACTACTCTGGGCGGGTTACAATCCCATAAAATAGAAAACACAAATGAAAATAGAAACATTAAAACTGAAAACAAAAGCCCTAAAAAAGGAAAGAAAACCAGATGGCACCGGCTAATCTCAGAACAGATGGGGGGGAAAAGAGGGGAGAGAAGAGGAGAAGGGAAGAGGGGGGAAAGTAGGGGAAGGAAGGTGGTCAGCTGCGGTTGGTGTGGAAAGCCTCGACACAACACACTGTTGGCTCATATTCAGCTTATGATCTATAACAATTCCGAGATCTTTCTTGCATGTAGTATTACTGACCAAAGTATCTTGCATCTTGTAACTCTGCATTTGGTTAGTTTCACCTAAGCGTAGAACTTACCCCTGTTAAATTTCATCCTGATCGAGTTCTCAGCTCAGTCCCCAAGGTTATCAAGAGCTCTTCAAATTTTTCAACTGTTTTCCAGGATATCCATAAATTTGATAAGCATTCCTTGCACCCCCTCAATCCAGATCATTAATTAAAATATTGAGGAGCACCGGGCCCAAGACTAAGCCTTGTCTTATTGCACTTGTTTCCTCCTCCCAGTTTGAGAAGGAACCATTGATAAACACTCTTTGATTCTGTAAACCAGAGGTCGTCAACCCCCGCTCCGCGGCCCGGTGCTGGTCCATGGCCTGAGCCAGACTGGGCCGCGAAGACAGACGTCCCCCCCACATGCACTCCGCTCCCCACAGCTGTTTTGCATGCACTCCACTCCCCACAGCTGTTTTGCACGCGCACACACGTGCCAGCCCCAGCGTGAGCGCTCTCCCACCCTTCACACATGCACCCAAGTGCCCACATGAAGGGGTGGGCAGGCATGTAGGTGGCACGCACACACACGTGCCAGCGCCAGCGTGAGCGCTCTCCCACCCCTTCACACATGCACCTAAGTGCCTACATGAAGGGGTGGGCAGGCATGTAGGTGGGGGTGCAGGTGCTCCTGTGCATGTGCGAAGGGGTGGGGGAGCACTCATTTTGGCGCTGGTGCGTGTACGCCTGCTACTCCAACACTTCACACATGCACCTGAGAGCATGTGCGAGTGTGGGTGTTGGCGCTGGTGCGTGTGCGCCTGCTACTCCAACACTTCATGCATGCACCTGAGAGCATGTGCGAGTGTGGGGGGTGTCCTGCCTTCCTAAGAGGCTCAGCCAGTCCACGGTCCCAAAACAGTTGGGGACTGCTGCTGTAAACGATTGTGGATCTCCCTGTTAGCTTTGAGCTTAGCCAATACATAATTAGCTTGCTAATCAGAATATCCTGAGGCACTCTGTCAGAGATCACTTTGCTGAAGTCAACATTTATTACCATGAAGTTTACTCAATAAAAAAAAGGAGATAAGATTAGTCTAGCAGGGTTTATTCTTGACAAATCCATGTTCGATTCTAGTTATTACTCTATTGTTTTCATGGCGCTTACAGATTAGAGATGGGCACGAACCCCAGTCCAGTAGTTCATTCCAGTTGGTTTAATGCCACAAAAGGCTATATCTTCGGGAAATGTGATAGGAATCTGCAAGGAATTTATTTATTTATTTGCCATAGTATTCTCTTTGAATTTGCAGCAATACACAAAATGATTTGGCAGAAATAATAAACAACATATGAAGATAATTAAACAATCATAAAGAAATTAAGCAAAGGCCTCAATTGACAACAGAAGAAGCAATAAGGCAGCATAATTTATGAAGGGCAGTAATGGATGATCCATCCTCCTAAACCCCGTTGAACATCAGTGTGCTCAAGAAAGTGGTCACAGTCAAGCACCCCCGTTGAAAAAGCCCTGCTCGGCATTGCCACCTACAAAAGGGGCCTTCCACACCTAGCATTCAGCAAGGTTCCTGGTTAGATCAGACCCATTTTGCTACATCTCTTTGCAGCTCCAGCAACATTGCAGAGTTTGGAATTGCCCATAAGCCAAACAGTGCAACCCCACTTCGTCATCTGATTCTTTTTCCTTTTGGGAAAGATCTTACAGTCAGATTTGAGCAAACTGGGCATCAGGGGGGCGGTTTTCCACCTACTAGACCCACTGTGAACCACAACATCTCTCCTCCATGTATAAAAGAAATAGTCAAAACCACAATTGACCAGAAGTCCCTGTTTCATGGGGCAGGAAACTATGCTCCATGTTTTCGCAAAACCACTGCTGCAGACAGCTTGCACATGCAAAAAATGATGATGAAGGAGTCAAAAGAACACATTTGGGGGGAAAGCAATGACAAACCTATACAGCATCTTAAAAAGCAGAGACATCACGTTACTGACAAAAGGCCGCATAGTCAAAGCTACGGTTTTCCCTGTAGTGATGTATGGAAGCGAGACCTGGACCATAAAGAAAGCTGACCGCCAAAGAGTTGATGTTTTTGAATTGGGGTGCTGGAGGAGGTTCTTGATAGTCCCCTAAACTGCAAGGAGATCAAACCTATCCATTCTAAAGAAAATCAACCTGGAGACCAAATTTGGGAGGCAGTGGAAGACAGGAGGGCCTGGAGTGCTCTGGTCCATGGGGTCACGAAGAGGCAGACACGACTAAACGACAACAACAAAAACTGGTTTTAATTGGGAATTAGTCCTTGTTTACTGATCAGAGAGCTTTGGAACCTAGCGCTAAGATGGGAGAGAAGAGTTATGGCCAAGAGCCTAGGCACCAGCAACCCCTCCTTTGACCCCTCCTTCTCCACACCCCTTTGTCTCCCTCATTTTTATCTGAACTTATCAGGTTAATGTTCTGTATGGGCACCTTACACCTCTCCTCCGCTTGTTCTGGTGCACAGGGCTGTGTCCATTCACTTTTGCTTCTTTTCAGCTGAAAATATATTAGATCTCCTCACCCCTGGTTAATTGAAAATATATCAGAGACAGGTTAATGTCCAGATATTACTGGTACATAATGTTCAGAAAGTTCTGGTATCCTTCAATGACTTTGTTGTTGTGTTTCTTTTCTTTAAAAAAAACAACATAGTCTGTAAGCCCTGGGAGCACACGCCCAGGATATTCATATTCCAGTTCGCCAAATCCACGCTTGTGTATTATGCAAATTACCTTCTGTTAAACCAGCCAGAATAGTGCTTTAGCACTAATCGAGCAGCATTTTAAATAAATAAACAAACAAACAAAAAACAAATGCCCTTATTTAAATAATACTGTATGCATATTATCTAATTAATATGGACTTTTCCATATATTCAACTTCAGTCCATTTGTTACATTTTTTTTCTAGCCATAAACTGAAATCAACTCCATAGCACATAACAATAATAAAAATGTTGCAGACCTGGCATCATTTATATACTGTAGTATCTTCTCATCTTAGGGAGCCACTATGGTGTAGTGGTTAGTTTAATGCACACAGAAATGAAGGTATTGGGGGGGGGGATGTAGTGTCCTATCCCTCTCCCATATGCCGCTGTTAAAACTCCTTTTGTCCTGTCTCTTGGCTGTTGAAGTAATCATCTCCTTCAACAACCATAGAAATAAACATGTTTTCTTTAACAATCTTTTATTTCTTCTCTTCCTCCTTGGCCACCACCAACCTTTAGTTGCCCCTATGGGTCTGAATTTGCCCGTTCACTCAGGCCCTTACAATACTTTCCACACAGCCAACCCTACTTAACTTTTATTTCTTACCTTAGCTTTTTTTTTCTCACATTGCCCATCTTGAACAATACTAATACCATTGACTCATATTGTTTAATGGTGGGAAATAAATAAATAAATAAATAAATAAATAAATAAATAAATAAACAAACAAACAAACAAACAAACAAACAAACAAACAAACAAACAAACATTGAGCTCCACAACACTCAGTTTCAATTAATTTCGTAAGATTTTATTAAAAGAACAGTATCCAAAGGATTTGATTTGATTCAGTGCAATTCTTCCCTCTCTCTGTCTCTTCTCTTCTCCCTCAAGCTCTCAGCTTTTTCATCAAAAAGCACTCTTTACCCCAGTGGTTTCCAAGCTTGGGTCCCCCAATGTTCTTGACTAAAATTCCCAGAAGCCTTCACCACCACCTCTGCTGGCCAGGATTTCTGGGAGTTGTAGTCCAAGAACATCTGGGGACACAAGGTGGGGAACCACTGCTCTCCCCCAATATCTCTACCACCAGACTCCTCCAACACTGCTCTCGCCCAATATCTCTACCACCAGACTCCTCCAAAAACCTCACCATCTCTCCACACTCCTATTTTCTCTCCCAACCAACTGGAACCATTCTTACCAGCCTTCCATGCTCCTTTCTCACCACCAAATCTCCAAAGTGCAGAAGGGATTGGATTTAAGATTGGAATAATGGGAACCTGAGCAAAACCAATTTTGGCATATTCATCGCCCAATATCTCTACCACCAGACTCCTCCAAAAACCTCACCATCTCTCCACACTCCTATTTTCTCTCCCAACCAACTGGAACCATTCTTACCAGCCTTCCATGCTCCTTTCTCACCACCAAATCTCCAAAGTGCAGAAGGGATTGGATTTAAGATTGGAATAATGGGAACCTGAGCAAAACCAATTTTGGCATATTCATTTCTTCATACCATAAGCATTGTATATGTTCTTGACACTTAGGTGTGTAAGGTTTGTAGCCTCTAGACAACTTTTTATTCCAGGCTGTTTTACACCAGGGAATCTTTTTTTTCCTTAAAAATGTACCCTGAAGAGATAAAACTGTCAAATGGTTTATGCAAAGCTTTGCACACCGTACAACTTTCCCCTGCAAAAAGCCGTGGAAAATGCTGCTCTCCCTCAGTTGCCCAGGGCGGGTCATATTTTCTTTTGATGGGCAAATAAAATATAATTAGTTTTTTTACATCATCATCATTATGCTAAGGGTGAGCAAGGAGATTTTGTGCTGGAAAATTCTCGTGAGGATTTTGCAATGCAGTTAATGACTCTCAGGCACTTGAGAATATGCCTCTCAGACATTCATTTATTCAAGTGTTTTTGACAGATCTATAGAACTGTAGGTCCCCCCCCCCCGAAGATGCTAGGAATCACTCTTTAATAGGATGAAAACAGGGTTTGTCTAGTCCATTCCCATGGGATCACCCAATTGTTCTCCTCTCGTTTGTGGAAGAAAGTGGAGAAGAGACCAATCACTCCTTCATTGACATAATCACTGATTTGATTCTTTTTCCACAGTCAGATAACAATGTGTGTGCATGTAAGTGTGTGTGAGAGACACAAAAAGAGAGTGAAACGTGTGATGCATTTCTTTGTGATAAAATACATGATGCTTTCAGATATTTGTTGTACAAATCACTCTGCTATGTTCATGGAATATTACTGTACAGGGAAACTGAGACATTACTGTCTTCTGTTTAACAGCACTCACACCATATTTCTCCACTGCTCTTCCTGTCTTTGTTCTTACCACTGGAAAGCTATTAAAGTGAGAGGACACAGGATAGCCACTCAGTAACTTCTGAGGAACAGTTCTTGGAGTCATTTGTTTAAAACAATTGTTCTCAACTTTTGGTCCTCTGACTATTTTAGATTTTAGTGCCCAGAATCCCTCACCATTTGCTCTACTGGCTAGAACCAGAGATGGGAAAATGAGTGGGAAAGAGTTAGTGGGTTGCTTGTTGTAGTTTTTTCAGGCTGGTTGGCTGTGTTCTGGAGGTTTTTCTTCCTGACGTTTCGCCATTCTCTGTGACGGGCATCTTCACTGGACAGGAGCTAGAACTCTGTGCTCTGGTGCAGTTTGTTTGGGAGTGTCACATTCCCGGGGGTTACAATAGCCGAAGTCCGATAAACCAGTCCAAGGTCAGAGATACCAAGAATGCAAA